GGTTGGATAAGCTGTGTGGCTGGAAAGATGGGGATAGGATAGTATTCCTTTCTTCAGGTGCTCTGAGGGAGTTTCTTTAGCTGATTTTCAGCGGAACTTGGCTGCTTATTAATGATATCCATTTTGCTTTATTATTTGGGAGGACGACTTATTCTTCAGCAAGCTTTTGTAGTTCTTTTTGCTGTTAATACAATCTTCTCTAATCTAAAAAATATATCTGCAAAAATTCCTTTTTGTTTAGCCCTTCTATCATGTTCCATGTTAAGCTTATATTCGCTGGCTTTTTTTATTTTTCATTGCTCTTCTAAAATCTGTGTGCAAAATTAATTGTCACAGATAATCTTGTAAATAGGATATGTGTCTTGGTTAATTCACTGCATTTTTAATATAGCATTCAAAGTATTGCAAGAAATGGGTCCCTTTTCAGAAGGCATGGATTATATGGATAACCACTTGGTTTGGTTTCCAATGTGTCTATTGAATTTTCATGTTGCTTTTCTTTTGGATTGAATACTGTCGAGTCTTGTCTGCTTATAAAAGATGCTGGTTGACATGTTATAGAAAATGTAAATTTATTCAGGTTTACCTTTGTGAACATTGTCTGGCTCACTTCTGAACTGTTTCTCTGCATAGAAAGTGGAAAACAACTTTACTTTCTCCAAAAAAACTGAAGTGTGACTCATAATCTCAGCTGGCCAATGCTTTGCAGATGCACAACCAATATCTGAAACACAACAGATAGACGGGATGGATGTTCAGAAGGATATACAAGGAAAACTTCGCTGTCATCCACTCTTCTTTGGCATAACAATGGGGCTACTGGCTGAGATCATAAATTCTCGGTGATTTTCCTGACAGGCTTGCTTAGAAATCATTTCATCTATATGATATAACTTCATAGTCTAGCAATTTGCAATCATGCATGCATTAGCCAGTGTTATTGTTTGTTTCTTTCTAGTGTTTGTCTGGAATGTTCCTGAGGGAATTTAGTCTAGTTGTATCATACTCTGCAAAACTGCCTCTCCATGGGATTGCTACCTTAAGAACAAACAACCAAATAAAAATGTGTGTTCCCATCTAATGCTGTGAAAATACTTTGGGAAGTTAATAAAATTCAATATTGTACCATGGATGATCTGTCCATTTTACTCTGCTAACACTTCTTGACTAGCAGATGAGGCAGTAATCTTTTAGTTTTGAAAATTATGCAGCCTTACTCGAATCTAAAATATTTGTAGCTACCATAGCTATGAATTGTTGTATTTTCATGCAGCTATTCTTTGTTTTGTGCAGGCTTTTTACCACAGTTAGGGATTCTCTTGGGTTGACATATGATGTATCGTTTGAGTTAAGCCTATTTGATAGGCTTAAGCTTGGATGGTATGTTGTTTCAGTAACATCAACTCCAGGCAAGGTGGGGGTTCATTTCCCTATATTCCATCTAATATTTTCTGTTAGTTCTGACGTATTCACTAGCTTTGGGTTCTATTAACATGCAGGTACATAAAGCGGTTGATGCATGCAAAAGTGTTCTTAGAGGGTTGCATATCAACAAGGTTGCCCAGAGAGAGTTGGACAGGGTTAGATATTATTCAACTACTAGAATGCTGTTTGTGTTTTTCTGTGATTGACAGCATTTATACTCAGAACATAGGATTCATTGAAACGAACATGTTTAATGGAAATGATGAAAAACTTTTCTAGAAGTTCGTTCTTGTTATCCCCCTTCATAACAGCTTTTGCTTAAATTAACTTCCCTGCTGGGATTTGTTTTTTACTTTTCCTTGATAGGGGATATCTAATTGCATAATGAAGTAGAGTTGTCTTTTATATCCACATGTATCTTATGTCTTGATGCACATGTAGCATGTTTCCATTTTAACACTTTGCAATTACAGGCAAGACGGACGCTGCTAATGAGACATGAAGCTGAGATTAAGTCCAATGCCTATTGGCTTGGATTGCTTGCTCATTTGCAAGCCTCTTCTGTTCCGAGAAAGGTGAAAAACAATATGTTTGAAGCTTAGCTTTCATCCTTTAGCTCTCATCTTCCAACTAGAAACAAATTATGACTTCATGTGACCTGTTCTTTATGGTTCTGGGGTCCAGGACATCTCATGTATTAAAGATCTCACTGCACTATATGAAGCTGCCACAATTGAGGACGTATACCTTGCATATGAACAATTGAAAGTAGATGAGGATTCTCTGTACTCATGCATTGGGGTTGCTGGGACACAAGCTGGAGAGGAGATTAATGGTAAACAACCATAGTTGAAATTATTCAATTTCCCTGTCCAATGTTTCCTCCTATTTACAGTGTATTTGATTTAATATAAACCAGAATAAACAGAATGCAATGATTATTGATTATATGAGCTGAATTGAAATAATTGAAATCTGTATTGATTTAGAAGCCAATTAACAAGGTTACTTAAAATAGCACATTAATTCATATATGAGTTGTTATGTCATTTTTCTTGGACATCAGGCACAAGGAACATCTTATCTTGTTTTGCCATTTCATGTTTGGATTTTTAGTGGCATATTCTCTTTGAACTGCTTGCATCTGTCTCTTTTTCGTTCTTTTGTTTTTTGTTCTCTCTTTTTTGTCCTCTCTTTTTGTTTCATTTATTTAAGAGCTTTTCTTAAATTGTTCTCCCCATTTGATTAACTCATACTTTGCAGCTCCATTAGAAGTGGATGAAACAGATGATGGTTTTCAGGGAGGCATGCCTGTGGGACGTGGTTTGTCTACAATGACACGACCAACAACCTGATTTTCCTGGATGATTTAATATCATTGATTGCAGTGAAACCTTTTTTGGTTAGTGTTAGAAGGTATCGTTCTTATTGGCATTAAATCTTATATTAATTATTTATACAACAAGGCCTGTTGCAAACAGATATAGCAAGTTGCGTCCATATATGGCTTGGGCCCATGCAATGAAATTGATAATTTTGATTCAAAGGTCTGGAAATTTCCTTAAAACATGCCAAGGCAGATGCATATATATCATATGTCATTGGTTGAAATGCGAGAGAAGAACCGATGTTATTTCTCTGCTTTTCTTTTCCGAGTCCTGAAATATGATATTCCTTGTGTGGAGAATGTGGTTTTATGTCAACCCACTTTGTAATTTATCACCAGCTGCCTTGAATAAAAGACTATGTTAAACCTTTTAAGGGTTTTACTTCTGTTAATCATATAAGGTCATATATTAGAATTAGTGACAAGCGAAGTTGAATGTAAGGTGTAAGGGTTCCAATCCATGTCTGTCACAGGATTCGGGTTCATTAGTGTCTGAGCTTGGGAGAAAGGGGAAGGCGTATCAGGACTGGGAGGAGGGTTTGTACCACCCCGCATTCCTTTATAATGATTTATTTTTTTTCCAATTATCTCTCTTCCTGTGTTGAACACCTCAAGTTTGAGCATGCTGCTGAAAATTGCCATAGAATTTCCATCTTCACAGTTCCATGGTATACTAAAAGGATAGTATGCAGCATTTCTTGTTTCTACATGTTAACAAGAAGTAAAATCATCTGCAGGATCGTGGGCAGCTCTCTACCTGATTTAAAGGTCCGATCAACAATTGATGGAGCTGTCCCATAAAGCCTCTCCTGGACTTTCAGAACGGTCTAGAATGTCCCATCGAGTGGTTCAGGTATGTCAAATTAGATGCCCAACAAAAGTAGTTGTGGAGTTGCGCAAGTTCATAGGGTTATTTTGATTGCTAGCAATTTCAGTCACTGGGATACCAAAATTTTTACAGATGTTTGTATAGATGCTGATCATGGTGTCATTAGCCGCTTGAATTGATTATAGTTTAACCAATTTACAGTCTACACCGCTTGAATTGAATTGATTATAGTTTACAGTCTACACCAGTGCCAATTGTTTCTATTGTAAATTAACCAATTTTGTGTTTTATATACTGAATGATTTCATGCAAAAATTGTTGTTAAACTCAAGCCTTGCTTGCTCGGTTGACTAGTTAACTTACCGTGGTTTGGGCCAAATCAGGGACCTAGTCAAGTTCTAGTGATCTAACGGGTATAGTTTTGAAATCCGGTTTGGCTTGCGAGCTGGCTCAGGACTCGGCCAACCTGGAACTAGAACTGAGTCGGGTTGAAAAAAATAGAGGAAGAAAAAATCCCATGTGACCCGGCGACCTGGTCAAGAACCGGTTTCAAATCCGTTGATTTTTGTTTTTTGTTAAAATAATGTTGTTTTAATTTAAAAAAAAAATAAAATTTGACTCGGCCGATCCGGTAACCTAGACAAAACTCAGTGACTTGGATCTAACCTAGACAAAACTCAGTGACTTGGATCTTAGATTAGTTAATTTCAACTTACAAGTTAGTTGACGAGTTAATTTTTAAGGTTGTTTTTTAATTATTTTTAAATGATGTTTTAATTTATTTATTGGCCTAGGTGGCATATATAAATAGAGGAATATAA